GAGCTGCAGGCTCTGCCTCACGGAACAGGCGGTTTTTGTGTGGGAAACTGAACCATCCTTAGTTCCCAGTGGATCCCAAGTGCAGAGAAGGATTAGTGGTCCATAGTTAATGTGTTTGGCATAGACTGGTTATGCCTTGGTTTGCTTTGTTGTTATTATTAGCACTTCTTTTTAAATTAGTGCCAGAGGAGTGGGAAGCACACACATTCTCATACTCTGTCATGATGGTAAGGGATAGGGTATGCAAGGATCTGGGTGGGTGTTTAATTTTTCCTAAAGGGGGAGCCATTCCATAGAGTAGCATACCACACATTCTCACAATCTGCAGCAGTTACCAGGGCCGAGGTCTGCAAGAACTGATGTCGAGATTAAAAAAAAAAATTAGGTCAACAGGGGAGCAGAATCAGAGTGGTGGGGCCCCCCCACACCTGTGCAATGAATGTGGTGGCTTGTAAAAATATCAAGAGAGCAGTGTTAGACATAACTACCTAGTGTCCCCCCCCCCTCCCCCAAAATCATCCACCCTCATCCTCACAACCAGTGGTTGAACTCCTCCGGTGTGCACCAGAACAAGATCTCAATATGCATATAATGTTGTTGTTGTTGTTGTTGGGTATGGTCTAGTCGATTTCAACTCATTTTAGCACTATGTACATCAGAACAAAATACTGCTGATCCTGTGCCATTCTCACAATTGTTTAGTATTTTCAATGTTCTTCTCCAATATTATCATTCAAATTCATCAATTTTTCTTCAGTCTTCCTTATTTAATATGCAACTTTCACATGGATATGAGGTAAATGAAAATGCCATGGCTTAGGTCAACTATACCATATACACTTGAGTATAAGCCGGGGTTTTCAGCACATTTTTAATGAAGTTTTTGTAGTAAAATTAGGTGCCTCCGCGGATATTCGGGTTGGCTTACACTCGAGTATATATGGTACCTTAGTCCTCAAAGTAACTCCCTTGCTTTTCAACACTTTAAAGCGGTCTTGTGCAGCATATTTACCCAATACAATGCACTGTTCTTTAAGTAATGCAGCTTCTCTGATTATTTGCTAAGCATACAGATTGAATAAGTATGATGAGAGGATGCAATCTTGATGCACACCTTTCCTGATTTTAAAACAAGCAGTATGTTCTTGTTCCACGTCCTTTTCTGAATCCGTCCTGAACCTCTGATGGTACTCTATATACTGCTGCAATGGTTGTTGGATGATATTGAGCAAAATTTACTTGCATTTGATATCAATGATACTGTTCCAGAATTTAAGCATTCTGCTGGGTCACCTTACTTTAAAATGGGTACAAATATGTACCTCTCCTAGACAGTTGACCAACTAGCTGTCTTCCAAATTTCCTAGCATAGATGAGTGAGTGCTTCCAGTGCTTCATCAGTTTGTTGAAACATTTTAATTGGTATCCCTGGAGCATTGTTTTTGGCTAATGCTGTCAGTGCTGTCAGCTTGAATTTCTTTCTTCAGTACCATTGGTTCTTTTTCATATGCTACCTCCTGAAATAGTGGAATGCCAAGTAGTTTGTTTTGGTACAGTTATTCAGTGTATTCTATCTTTTTTGATCCTTCCTGCATCATTCAATATGTTGCCCATGTTGTTATGTTGTTAAGTATTTTCCAGTCATTTCTGACTC